TCTCGCACCTGGTCGACGAGTAAACTGTCGGGTCGGCACTGTGAGAGGCTCCACCGCCATGCTGTGAACCCGGAAGCAACTGTAAGAGGAAGCGGGGGAGGGCGCGGAAGCGGGGGGGCATGTCGTGATGTTTCCCCCGGGGCTGATATCGAGAGGTACGCGGCGCACGTCTCAAAAGAAAAATCGTGACGTCGGATGTCTGGGGAGGGCGGAAGGCACTGCGCGCATGACGGATGCTGAGGCGGCAGAAACGACGACGGCGGGGACGGGGAGGCGGAGGCAGAGGCGCAGCAGCGGGAGGCGGGAGGCGGGAGAAGGGAAGAGGGAAGAGGAGCCAGGCGGGAAGTGGGAAGAGGGAGGCGCCAAAAGGAATGAGAGAGGTTGTGATTGGAGCCCCTGTGCTACGAAACGTCTCAGGCAGAACAGGCCAGGCCATCTCGCGCGCAACATCTTCGAGCCTCGCATTGCGAGGATGGCTCAATCGAAACGGGCCGGACCACCTCGCGAGCGACATCTTGGAGCTCAGTATAGGAAGGATGTCTCAAACGAAACGGGCCGGACAACCTCTCGCACACGTTCTGACAAGTCCACGTCACACTCGTTTCCCGTTAGGTGCTCTCCTGCAACTCCCCTCCTTCTCCCTCCTCCTCCTCCTCCTCCTCCTCCTCCTCCTCCTCCTCCTCCCCCTCCTCCTGCCTGCTCCCTCATCCACATCATCCGCCTCCTCCTTCTCCCTTCCATTTCCTTCTCCTCCTCCTCCTCCTCCTCCTCCTCCTCCTCCTCCTCCACCTCCTCTTCATCCCGAACGGCATCTCGGAGCCTAGAGTTGCAAGGATGTCTTCAGCGTAATTAACGGGCTGGACCACCTCGCGCGCGGCATCTCGGACCCCAGAGTTGCGACGATGTCTCGGGCGAAACGTGCTGCGAGGAAGTCTCAGGCGAAACGGGCCGGACCACCTCGAGCGCGGCGTCTCAGAGCTCCGAGTTGCGGGGGCCTCCTGGTGCCTCCTGGGACCTCTTGGGGACCTCCTGGGGCTTCCTCCTGGGCCTCCTGTGGCCTCCTGAACTCCACCTGGGGTTTCCTGAAGCCGCTTGGGGCTCCCAAGGGGGATATCTAACCTGTGGCCGCTTGGGCCCCTCAAAATGGAAGGGGGGGCACAAGAGCAGGAAAAATCAACGAATCGACACCGGATGTGTATCAACTTGACACGTTCTGATAGGGGGCCTCCTGGGGCCTCCTGGGAGCCTCCTGGGAATCTCCTGGGGACCCCTGGGGCCTGTCCTGCGCGTCCTGCGGCCTCCTGGAGCTCTCTGGGGCCTCCTGGGGCTCCCAGGGTCCCAGGGAGGATATGTAATATGTGGTCTTCTGGGCCCCTGGGCTGGACCACCTCTTGCGCGGCATCTGGGAGCTCAGAGTTGCAAGAATGTCTTGTGCGAAACAAGCCGGACCACCTTGCGCACGGCATCTCAGAGCTCAGAGTTGCGGAAGGCGAGACGGGCCGGACACCTCGCGCAGGGCACCACTCAGAGAGCTCAGCAGTTCGAGGATGTCTCAGGCGAAACGGCCCGGACCACCTCTCGCGCGGCATCTCCGAGGTCAGAGTTTCGAGGATGTCTCAGGCGAAACGGCCCGGACCACCTCGCGCAAGGCATCTCAGAGCTCAGAATTTCGAGGATGTCTCAGGCGAAACGGCCCGGACCACCTCTCGCACGGCACCTCGGGGCTCAGAGTTTCGAGGATGTCTCAAGCGAAACGGCCAGGACCACCTCTCGCGCGGCGTCCTGGAGCGCAATTGTTCGAAGATGTCTCAGGCGAAACGGCCAATCCCAGCCAACTCAGAAACGAGAGATGTGAGGATGTCTCAAGCGAAACGGCCCGCGGCCCCTGGCGGGCCGCCCACCTGGGCGCCAGGGTGGCGCCCCCGCCTGGGCTCGCGCACCAGGTCCCTCCAACGCTTGTGCCGCTCCCCCTGTTCGTCGTAGGCGACCCAGAGGGCGCGGGCGTCGGCGTCGCGCTCATCTCCGAGCAGGCTGGCCGGCGGCGGCAGCGGCACCTCGGGCGTGGCCTTGCCGCCCACCTCCTCGGCGAACGGCGTCTCCTCGGCCGGCCCGGGGCCTCCCCCGCGGCGGCGGCCGCGGTCGGAATCCCGGGCGCGAGCGCCCTCCAGCCCTTGCCAGACGGCTGCCTCCTCGGCCACCCGCGCCGGGGCAGCTCCCGCATCCAGCAGGGCCAGCCGCGCCATGTTTCCGTCGCCGGCCTTCAGCGCGCCGAACCTCTCGAACCCGCCCTCGAAGCCAAGGCCCACTGCGCTCGACACGTCGACCTCCGAACCAATCGCGATGCCAGGTCCGCCGCTGACGGCCAGCCATGCTCGGCCCGCCCCTGGAGACTCCTGCAGCCGTCGGCCCATCCGCGCCACGCCCATGCCCAGACGCAAGAAGGCGGCCCGATCTGCTGCCGTCAGATCTCCCGCCGCCTACTGCCAGGTGACCCGCTGGCCGTCGGCGGTCAGCGCCTCGCGAGGCTCGAGCAGGTCGGGGTCCAGCTGCTGCGCCGCCTGGCGCCCTCGCTGGAGCGCGTCGGCGAGCTCATCTGGGCCGAGATCTGCACGGAACCGAAACAGCCGCCGCATCTTGCGTGTCCTGAGCGCAAGCGGGAAGGCCCGCAACGGTCCGCGCTGAGGATCTCCACAGCTCAGGTAGATGCCCCCGTCAGGCGTCATGATCATCCTGTCGCCCTATGTGAAGGGTGTGCAGCAGCAGCCTCTAGTGGTCAACATCGTCGTCGCTGACGCGGCAGACCACTCGCTCCCCAGGGAGCGCTCTAGTCCACCACTCCCGCCCCGCGTCGCCGCGGAGCCACTCCACGACCGCCGCCATCTCGTCGGCCGAGCACTCGCGCCACGACCCAGTGCACCAGGCCGCCCAACGCCCAGGTCTGGCCCTGGCGGGCGCGCTGGAGCCTCGCACTGCGGGCAGGCCGCGCATGGCGGCGGCTCGCAGGCCGGGCAGGCGGCACAGGCCCTCGGCCCCGGGCAAGCCGCATACGCGGCCGCCTCTGGGCACGCCGGGCAGGCGGGGCAGGAGAGGTCGGGACAGGACGACGAGCCTTGCCGCAACCCTGGAGCGACGAGCGACGCGGCCTCCAGCGCCAGAACAGCCCAGACAGGCACCGCGGCCGCCCCCCCAGGGAACGCGACCGCGTCCATCCAACTCTGGACCAGAGAAGCTAATGTACGGCACGGTACGGTACCCGCGCGAGTGTCCACGCGAGGGGACTAAGCGGGTCGGGGCCGGAGCGCCCGCAAACGTGCAATGGACTACAAGATGGAAAGACACATGGCTAGCAAGTATTCTTAGAATGTGCAAAACTATGTTCCAGCACACTCCACGTTGGTGTTTTGGCCAAATCGGTCCAGGCATTGGTATCATCAGTAAGGCCCAAATGTATATGCACATGCTTGCGTACATCATCGATCCATCGTCTTTTTGGTCTTGCTTGTCTGCGGGATGGCTGTTGGGCTTCTGCGTGTATGTCGGGCTCCCAGAACAAAGCTTTGCAGGCCCACTTATGACAATCAGCCGAGGCATTTACTGCCCACCTCCACTTTCTCCGGCGTCGTGTAATGATCCAGTCGTCGATTTTCAAGCGTCCTAACAGGCGTTGTACTTCATGCGTGGCCCTCTTGATCCACTCTGTCCATGGTTCCAACCAGAGAAGCTAATGTGTGATGTGAAAGGGATGAGCCAAACGGCACCCCTTCCTTCACGTCCAAGCAGAAACAATGATTTCCCTTTTATTTTTGAAGGATTTTGGCATGTGCCTCTTCTCGGCATTCCGACGGCTCAAAATTGCCCAAGAGGCCGCCAATATCGCCCCAAGATCGCCCACAAGGCCTCCAAGCCATGACGGCCCAAGAGGCCCCCAAGAGGCCCCCAAGAGGGCCCCCAAACGGGCCAAGAGGCCTCCAAGACGCCCAAGATGGGCCCCGAAGCGCCCCAACAGGGCCCCAAGCTGGTTCAGAGAGGCCCCAAGACGGCTCCTGACGGCGTCAGACGGGCCAGGAACGCCCTAAGACAGCCAAAGAGGCCCCCGAAAAGTCCCAAGAAGGCCCAAGAGGCCATCAAGAGGCTCCAAAAGAACCCCATATAGCACCAACATGGCCTCCAAGACGGTCCCAAGATGGCCCAATCGAGCCCACGAGTGCCTCAAGAGGCTCCGAAGAGGCATCCTCCCCCTTCTCCGTTTTCCTCATTTTCCTCCTCTTCCTCTTCCTCCCCCACGTGTTCCCCGAAGGCTTTACAAACCGACTCGGGGAACACATGGTTCGATAGCTTCGCCCCCAAAGATGCTTCCAAGACGGCCCAAGATGCCTCCAAGACGGCCTAACATGGCGTCAATATTGCCCAAGACGGCCCAAGAGGCCCCCAAGAGGCCTCCAAGACGGCCCAAGAGGCCTCCAAGAGGTCCTCCAGGAGGGCCCGAAGAGACCAACATCCTGCATTTTCCCTGAGTGTTTCAAGGATGTTGGCATTTGTTTCTTCTCGCCATTCCGACGGATCAAGACGGCCCAAGAGGCCTCTTCCTCTTCCTCTTCATGTTCATTCTCCTCCACGTGTCCCCCGAAACCTTTCCACACCGACTCGGGGAACAGATGGTCCGATAGCTTGGCAGGCCTCTGGCCACAGCGTTCGGCCACATAGGCGCTTCCGAAAGGGCAGGGAGCAGCGGTGATTCGCCGTAGGCGTGTTCGATAATCATTCGTCGGGTACTTTGACAGGTGCACGCCGTCTGCATACGTGGGTTCTCGCCCGTTTCCCCATTCGAGCACGGCGGACGCTGATAATGTCACCCTCAAGAGGCCACGAAAAGGCCCCCAAGAGGCCCCCATGAAGCCCCACAAGAGCTCCAAGAAGCCCCCAAATGGGGCACAAGTGGCCCTCAGGAGCAGCACGCAACAACCGCCAGATCCCCAAGGGGTCGGCGGTGTGGCACAAGCCCAAGAATTAAGCAGGCTTACTTGAAGGGGAGCGGCGATCGGGGCGATGGCCTCGCGATTCCACTTGATGGCATCGTCAAAAGCCAGCGCGACCGCTTGCGAGAGGCCACCTGCAGCCTCGACGATGGGCATCCACCCAAACAAATCCAGAGCGCCGCGCTTGGAGACGTTCATAACCAGCACCCCCGTGGCCGCATGCCACACTCGGGACGTGCCGTCCTCGCTCCCGGTGACGAAGCGCTCCCCCCCGGCGCCGAGGGCCGCCACCGCACAGACATAGTCGCCGTGGCCCCTGGCGGTGCACAGCTCCGCGCCAGTGGCCGCATCCCACGCTCGGGCCGTCGCGTCGTTGCTCCCGGAGACGAAGCGCTCCCCCCCGGCGCCGAGGGCCGCCACCGCCCTGACCCTGGCGCCGTGGGCCCTGGCGGTGCACAGCTCCGCGCCGGTGGCCGCATCCCACACTCGGGCCGTCCCGTCCTCGCTCCCGGTGACGAAGCGCTCCCCCCCGGCGCCGAGGGCCGCCACCGCGACGACCTCGCCGTCGTGGCCCCTGGCGGTGCACAGCTCCGCGCCGGTGGCCGCATCCCACACTCGGGCCGTCGCGTCCGCGCTCCCGGTGGTGACGAAGCGCTCCCCCCCGGCGCCGAGGGCCGCCACCGCGACGACCCAGCCGTCGTGGCCCCTGGCGGTGCACAGCTCCGCGCCGGTGGCCGCATCCCACACTCGGGCCGTCTTGTCGCGGCTCCCGGTGACGAAGCGCTCCCCCCCGGCGCCGAGGGCCGCCACCGCCTCGACCGCGATGACGGCCTTGTCGTGGGCCCTGGCGGTGCACAGCTCCGCGCCGGTGGCCGCATCCCACACTCGGGCCGTGCCGTCCTCGCTCCCGGTGACGAAGCGCTCCCCCCCGGCGCCGAGGGCCGCCACCGCGACGACCCAGCCGCCGTGGCCCCTGGCGGTGCACAGCTCCGCGCCGGTGGCCGCATCCCACGCTCGGGCCGTCGCGTCCCCGCTCCCGGTGACGAAGCGCTCCCCCCCGGCGCCGAGGGCCGCCACGTCGACGACCCAGCCGCCGTGGCCCCTGGCGGTGCACAGCTCCGCGCCGGTGGCCGCATCCCACACTCGGGCCGTCCCGTCCTTGCTCCCGGAGACGAACCCCCCCGGCGCCGAGGGCCGCCACCGCGATGACGGCCTTGTCGTGGCCCTGGCCCGCGACGTCTCGGGCGAAGCGGGCGAGGCGCGCGGGGCAGCCGGAAGGCAGGGGCCCTTCGGCGGCGGACATCGAACCTCGGGCACTGGAGGCCGGAGAGGGCGGGGCGCGGAGAGCGGCGAGGCAGGCGCGCTGGACCCTGGCGGCGGGAACTGCTGCGGAGGGAGGGGGAGACGAGTGGGAAGGAGGCGAGGGAGGCGAGGGAAAAGGAGGATGGAGGAGGGAGGAGCAAGGAGAAAAAGGAGGAACGTTTGAGAAGAAAAAGGAGGGAGGGAGGGGGAGGAGGTAGGTGGTACCATGGTGGGTTCCATGTCACACGGCACTCAACGCCGAGCTGCTGGTTTCAGCCACCTGTACAATCGGGTTGCTGTGACTCGTAGAGCTTCTCCAAGAGCGAAGCGGCGAAGCTTAAGAGTAATTCGAACGCGCTGGCGGGCGAATTGGCTCGAAAAATATCGACGGAAGTGTTGTCCTTTTTTGTTCGGTTAAAAATCATTGTCTCGAAGCTCAACCATTCTCTAGAGTTCGAAGATTTTGTCCCCCATCTTTGATATTACTCCCGCTTCTCAGGTCGATCGGGTGGATACGAATATCAAAAGAGATCGGGGCGGGATCGGGTGTTGAGTGTCATCTTGGCAGGTGCTGTCGGCTTTCTCAACTTAACTCGAGCTCTAGATGAGCTACAGGGCTGTTCGGCACAGCAATCGAATGGAATTCATCAGGGGCGCTAGTCTCAAGAATCTAGACGCCTGAGATCGGTCTGCTACTAGAGCTGGGACCAAAAAGCTGCGTGCACTCCACAATTTGTTTGGGACACGATGTTGGTTTTCTCTACTTAATTCGAGCTGTAGGCGAGCTGCGGAGCTGGGAAGCACATCGTTCAACAGGGAATGATCAGGAAGATCCGCCGACGGTGTCGAGTCGTCTGAGATCGGTCTGTTTCAAGAGCTGCGACTAAAAAACTATTCGCACTATAAATCGAGCTGTAGGCTAGCTACGGAGCTCAGATGCACAACAATCGACAGAAAATGCTGAGAAGCGCCAGTCTAAAGCATCCGGACGCCTGAGATCGGTCTGCTACCAGAGCTGCGACCAACCAACTATTTGAACTCTTAATTTCCTTGAGAGGCGGCGTTCGTTTCTCTACTCAATTCGAGCTGCAGGCAAGCTACGGCGCTGGAAAACACACGATTGAACAGGATATGGCCAGGAACTTCGGCCTAGAGTATCCAGACGTCTGAGATTGGTCTGCTACCAGAGCTGCGACTGAAACACTATTCGAATTTTCTAATATTTTGTGAGAGATGATGTCTGTTTTCCCTACTTGATTCGAGCTGTAAGCTAACTACGGAGCTGTTATATACACCAGTCGACGGAAATTGCTGAGGAGCGCTAATCCAAAGTATCCGGAAACCTGAGATTGGTCACCTGCCAGAACACTATTTATACTCTGCACATTTTTTGGGGAGGCGATATTGCTTTTTTCACCTTGATTCCAGCTGTAGGCAAGCTACGGAGCTGGGAACCACCTTTCAAAAGGAAAAGATCACGAGCGCTACTCTGAGGTATCGAGACGTCTGAGATCGGTTTGCTACCAGAGCGACCGAAAACTGCAGTTGTGGCTGCAGCCGCGGCCGCGGCTGAGCGGGAGAAGCTATTGCGAATGTTTCGCGGTGGTTGCTCCTCTCTAGCCGCGGCTGCGGCTGCGGCCGTGGCTGCGGCCGCGGCTGGGAGGGGGAGAACTATCGCGAATTGTTCGCGATGGTGTGTGTTTGTCTCAACTGAACTCGAGCTGTGGGCAAGCGAAGGAGCTGTCGAGCACATTTCTATGAAACCGCACACACACACACACACACTCGCGCGCGCTGAATGCGAGATTGCCGCGCTCGCATGCCAAGGAAGCTCTACGAGTTCCCGGCGGTAACCAAGGTTGAAGTATGCGTTGGCCAGTTTAGCCTGAACAGTTTTCACTACATCAAGCTGCTGCGGGAGCGTAGGGGCGATCCATCTTGCTTCGCGGCCAAGGTCGCTAAACATACAGACAGAAACAGGAGGAGGATGCCTCTTGGGAGCCTCTTCCGGAGTGTGGTAGATGTAGAAGATAAAAGTGGTGACAAAAAACGCATGTTCACGCGCGAGGCCAAAGGAAAGATGCTGGACAGGGAGGCCGAGTCCAAGGCGGAGAGTAGGGCAAGGAAGGACGAGGGAGGAGAAAGGAGGAGTAAGAGGAACGCTTTGGAACGCGTAGGGGGGTAGGAGAATGGAGGAGGGAGGAGGGAGATGAAAGGAGGAAAAGGAACGTTTTACAACACATTGGGAGGGGGAGGGGGAGGAAGAGGAGGAGGGAGGAAAGAAGAGAGATGAGGAGACGGAAACACGCCCCTAACATGACGCCCAATCTGAAGCGGGAGCACCGCTCTGAAGCACCGAAGACGCTCCGAATGTAAAACGCAAGCGTCATAAGCATCAACACGCAATGCTGTGGCAAAAAGAGATGCGCGGACAGGGCGGGGCATCTTCTGCACAGAGTCGGGGGAGAAGGGAGAGCGGTCTGTAGAATTTGGCCTGAATGTCAGTTTGGCGGCTCCGTTGTCGCCGTCGCCGCCCCGTCGCGACAGCCGCCTCGTCGCCGCCCCGTCGCCGCCCCGTCGCCGCCCGCCGCCCGCTCGTCGCCGCCGCCCGCCGCCTCGTCGCCGTCGCCGCCCCGTCGCGATAGCCGCCCCGTCGCCGCCCGCCGTCTGGCCCTGAATGTCGGTCTGGCGGCTCCGTTGCCGCCGTCGCCGCCCCGTCGCCGCCTCGTCGGCGCCCCGTCGTCTGGGCCTGCCTGGGCCGGTCTGGCGGCTACGTTGCTGCCGTCGCTGCCCCGTCGCTGCACCGTCGTCGCCACACACGTTGCCCCGCTTGGATTGCACAAAGGATGGCTGCACAACATACATTGCACAACGTAGATTTGTAGCAAAAATTGCACAGCTGAGCCAGTACACCAGGTTTATCCTGTCTCAAAAATATACTCGACCACCCCCCTGGACTTGGGAACGCCCGCTTGCAAACTGCAATTTGCACATGATTCTGCCCCGTCGTCCATCCTAAGTTTGAATCCGTACCATCCCAGGCCGAGCCGATATCGCCCCCCCGCCAACCTCAACAACAAATGCTATGCGCGCGCACTCGTTGATAAAAAAACACATAATTGTTCGATAGCCCCGTGCAAAACCAAGGAACAAGTGCACACGCGCGCGTTGTCGCGCGCGCGTGCCGAACTCCTTCAACAACCATTGGTTTCGCAAGAATGTCAAAATCGAAAGTCCAAAACGCATATAAAAAACACCAGGTCTCGCAACACGCACGGTCCTCCTCCTCCTCCTCCTCCTCCTCCTCCTCCTTCTCCTCCTGCTCGTCCTCCTCCTCCTCCTCCTCCTCCTCCTCCTCCTCCTCCTCCTCCTCCTCCTCCTCCCCATTCCTCCTCCTCCTCCTCCTCCTCCTCCTCCTCCTCCTCCTCCTCCTCCTCCTCCTCCTCCTCCTC